GGGGGGCCCGGGCGGGCCTGGAGGGCCAGCGGGTCTTGCGACTCCTGTGGTCACATTTCCAGATGACCCAGGTGGAGTCGGTGACTTCAAAAGGCCATTTTCTGCCAAGGAGTGGTTTGGCCCAGGGAGCACACACATTTCTACAAGACAGATATGATGCTTTCATTAGTTAAACAGGGGATAACTTCCTAGCTAAAGAGTTACTGAATAACGGTGGTCAACGTTAGTCAATAGTTACTGTAAACGGTATGTGTATCGGCTGTTGTTTGGTCAACAAACTTACGTTTCAGCTCGGTTATTTGCAGCTCAGTCATCCTGTTCCGTGCAGAAAGCTTGCTCACGTCATCAGAAAGAGTGCTCACTTTAACTGCATCAAGAGATAAAAAGAAAAACGATTGATGACATCATATGTAGATCACGTGCCCTACCAGACTGGTCAGTACACCCGGATGATGGCTGAAGCATTGACTTCTGGGAAGATTTTTCAACTTATATATTTTTAACAATTTATATCCAAATTTGAATACATGTAGTACTATCAAAAGTAATTGCATGAATGGAAGATTCAATGAAAGAATAATCAGATAAGATATAGTCTACTTTCTATTGTTATATGTCCTTTCTAGTACATTGTATTTCCATTTTCCATTGTTATTCCTTTGACCTTTCTAGTACATTGATAACTGCATTTATTCCCTCGGAGAATGATCATGTAATAAAGATTCTTCGTCAATAGAATCCTTGTGGAAAAAAAATTTCAACCTTGTTTAAGAATATTTGAATAGAACTGTCCAAAACTGGAAATGTAATGAATGAATGAATGAAATGAATGAATGAATTATAATCAAATGACGCAAGCATTACTGTCGTACGATTGTAATCCTAAACAAGTCTTTTTCCAGACAAACATCACATCTTTTGTAACTCCAGGCTGTCAAATGAATATGTAATAACTTTATTCATAGCAAATATTGAAAAGATCAAAACAGGCACGATGAAAGCAAACCTTTTACCTTTTGTGACGTGTTTGTTGTTTCAATATTAGCATAAATTAGCATATGATAGCATAGCAATAAACAAATTCTAATGATTAGGCGGCGGCACTTCTTTGTCGTGTTGAAACGTGACGCGCTTTGCAATAACACTGCTTCTCTCCAAGCAGAGGTTGTGGGGGAATGATCGTTAGCTTTTTATATATGGCCGTTTTTTTTTTTCCTGACCCCCACCCCGTCGGTGGCCTGCGACCTTCTTTGGCTAATGGATACTGCCTGGCCAATTTGATACTGTCTTTTTGCCACCGAAAGGGATCTGCTTGGAGATTATAACACTGCGACATCGGCACAGTGTAAGCATTCTACACAGTACAGAACAGACCAACCTGCAAATATTGGAAACAGCAGAGCCATGGCCACAGAGATGAAGAGACCTGTGCCTTTCAGGACCTTCTTGCCCCTGTCGAGCCATTTCGTCTTGTTGTTGGCGTCTGCTCCATAGTCTAGTAGTAGAAAAGAAAATTATCTACTGTGTTATCCTACTTATTACATTGAGTGGTATAAACATCATGGCGTTTTTTTTACTGATAGTTGGTTTCTTTTACTCTTAAGGAGATCTGCTCTTAGAACTGCTCTTAAGGCGGCTACAAAAAATCCAGTAGTGTTTTTTTTTTTAGTTTGATATCTGCTATTAATTTCTTTAATTATGGAAGCTCTTAAATCATTCCTTACAATATGAACAACCTGTCAGGAGTCATAGTAAATCCTTTAAAATGTTGTGTGTCATGTGTCCCTAAGCAGATCTGCTCTTAATAACTGTTCTTAGACTACAGTAGACTAGCCCAAAATTCTATTAGTGTTTTTTATTAGTTTATCAATATCTGCTAAGAATCAATTTCTTTAATTATGGAAGCTCTTAAATCATTCCTTGCAATATAAAGAACCTGCCAGGAATCATAGTAATCCATCCTTAAAAATTTTACAAAATCTTGTTACCTGCTCTGGAGACGTACATCGTGTTTGGTATGTTCGCGGCGGCGTCCGCAAGAGACCTCCAATTAGTCTGGCCTTGCTGCTGGGGTGTGGCGCCTGGGTGGAAGAAAATTGCAACATAAGCAATACTATTCGGTGTATTCCACACAAATACAACATTGTTTAGTGTGTATTTATTACCAAATCCACCAGCCATTTTTTTTCATTTTGCCACACGAGCACACCGTGAAGTACCAAATTTAGACATTGACGAAGTCGATTCAAAACTGACTTCTGTGATCCGCTTTACTGCACCTTTTGTTCTGATAAAATAAAGACTTACAAAAGAAACAAATTGGGCGGCCTGTGGTGAAATCATTTCTATTTGCAGAAATTACACGCTTTGAAAGCAAGCGAACTGACCATGGTATAGCCGGAATGCCCCCTCCCTAGCAAAATGCCATACAAGTAGTTAAGGCTGGCGACGACTACATAAATAACTGCTCACCAGAAAAGGATAGAAAATGAATTAACATATTAACAGAAAATCTGTTACCTCCGGTGTCACCAGTCTGGGACTGCTGCTGCCCTCCCGACATGATGCCAGTTGTCAGGTTTCTGTACAGCAAAAACACGTCCTGCACCAGGCACGGCGTTTGTCGACTGACTAGTGAAGCCTGACTTACACCCACGCAGTAATTACAACAGCTTTACATAACGATACGCAATGAAAAGAAAAGGATGAAAGCGCGACATATTGAAGTTATCGAAAGCAGTCTACGAATGCAATCATTTTGCTTCTTTAAAGTAGAAAGATATGCACACCACCTACGCATTAACGAATTTGAAAGAAACGATGAAAGAAACCTATACATAATAAATAACAAAGTTTCCCTTTGATAAGATAAGAAAATTTTCGTTAAAACGCCTAATCGTCTTAAAAGCTTAATGTTCAAAGCATCCTAGCGAAAACGGTATACGAATGCAATCATGGCCTTTTAGAAGTAAAATTACAAACTTATTGCATGCTGATATCTACAGCTGTATTGAGAAAAAAATTTAACATAAAAACTACAATTTGGTTGGAGGGGAGTTAAAACTTTAATTAGTCCCTTTTCAACAACAAAATCTCGACTATTTTTCAGGTCACATGTGAGCATTGGAACCCAGCACTCAACCAGTTGCATCATTTTTGGTCTTCATTACCTTATGCATCTTTTCCTGCAACTTTATATTGCCTCTATAGCTGGGATTACGTAGATGCTTCTTAACGTTTTCCCAAGAAGTGAAGTTAGACATCAAATACAACTGTTAAATGGGTCGGAACATTAGATCATAAAGTTTAGCTCTTTGTCACAAATGTAATCTTTTATTGTTGTAATTCTGATCTTAAAATATTAAATGTAGTATTTGTCTCAGACTGTAGCAATCCTAGCATACATTGCTTTCAACAAAAACACAAAGTAAAACATACGCTTAATAGTACAAAGCTGTATATGTCGCTTCTCTACATCTTCCACGACTGTATCATTATATCACTGAAATGATACATGATTATTTTCCTTGACTGATACGTTATGCTCGGTTAGTATTCATCAATCCTTTTCTACACTCTCACTGAATTCAAGTTGTAAAGTACATACTGAAATGGGACGAAATCTACACCATACACTCGACAATACTTCTAGAAATGCCCAAATGCCAGGAATTCCAACAATTATTGGATAAGCACATTCTCGTCACATACTACGTAGTCTTTTGTAAGGTAGATTAGTCTCAAAGTATAGTTGTTGTTATATAGCACTAGATTCCATATGTTGTACCTTGTACAGTGTTCGTGCAATACAGTTACATTTGCAATAATAATTCTAGCTCCCACCTGCCCATTTTCGCATCTTACTGGAGCCGTTCTTTAGTTGTGATCAGAGTTCGACTGGTCGCCTAGGTTCAGTTCATTCTGAATTTCTAAAACTAACAGATGGATACTACAAGTTGATTAACATTATAAACATGTTAAAGTACCTCTACCGTTGCCAATTACTTGATTATATAGACAAAGATATAGCTCTAGACAACTACCTTTTATCGTGTAGATTTTAGTTATTTTTTACTACGTTTCATTGTTCTTTTATGTTTTTAATTTGCAATTAGCCCTCCGGGCACGAATTTGCAATAAACTATCCATGGATGACTCATTTTCAGTATAAGAGTCCAACAGAACAAACTTTTCATAACATGAAGTAACCAGTTTGCTTACTGAGTCCCTTCATTGACCCCATCTGCCTGTTGACGTGTTTTAAAGAGGCTAGGACCGTCCGGGAGCCGTTCAGCAGTGGCGGTCAGAGGTCAGCCTGACGCCTAGGTCTGTCCTGTGGGAGAATGAACGGGATTGCCATCAACATCGTGTCCAATTGTCTAATGGGAAATGAATTACTGGTCTAATGCCCCTGGCTATATATTTACATAAAGCCCTACGATGCATATTATCAATTTATTGTTGTTAGCACGAAAACACAATATACAAAAAACACTGTGCAGGAGAAGAGAGGAAGCCTATTAGGCTTATACAAGCCCTCCTCCTTTAAGCATAACAAATGATAATCACATATTAACTGAAATACTTGAAATGACAAACAAGGCAAATGACAAAAATATTAACAAAGCATAAATAAGTTAGCAATTAAATAATTAAAAACAGAACTAGAGTTCCACGATCTCATACCTTCGCCAAATGATGTTAGCCTTTATGAATAAGAAATATACTAATCACCCTGATTATGCAAGTAGGATCCTCAATTGCATGAATTATATCAGTCTGTTGATCATATTCTCCACCAAAAGACAGTCTTATCTTAACAAAGAATGCCATTTTCTCATAAATTATGCAAATATGGTCCTTATTTGAATAAGTTATGTTTAATTATGTTCACCTTCACTTAACTTTCAAACACCCCAAGTATGAAATTCCAGGCAGTTACCACTACGCAATTATAACATTTTCTCATTAATTATGCAAATTAAGTCTTCATTTGCATAATCAATATTTGCCTGTGTTTCTCTCGTTCTTAATAACATATGTTACAAGCTTGAACTTCCTATCATGGAATGCAGCTGATTTATAGAATTTCCTCATTAATTATGCAAATTACATCAATATTCGCATAATTGTAATATCATTATGTCAAGCATCACTTAAGCTACCTACATACCAAAAATCACGATGATCCATCAATCGGTTCTTGAGTTATCCTCTTTTAAACATTTGTCCTTTAAACCCCCCTGCAGTTCTAGAGCAAGCCGCTAGGGGGCCTAAACTCACGTCACTTCTTCCCCAGCACAAGAGCTACCTACCATCCAAATTTCATCACCATAGCATGTCTGGATCTTGAGATATCAAAACCGGAAGTTCTGCTGCAGTACCATAACAAGCCGCTAGGGGGTCCAAAATCTAATCATTTTGAGGTCTCATCAAGACCTACCCATCTACCAAGTATCAAGACAATCCATCAAGGCCTTCTCAAGTTATCGTGTTGACAGACAGACAGACAGACAGACACACACACACACACACACACACATACACGAACGCCCCTGAAAACATAACCTTCTTGGCGAAGGTAATTATAGCAAAGTAAACTATCTAATGGAGAAGCTAAGTAACACTGATTCAAAACAAGAGGTATGGAGACTACAATAACATAAAGAAGTCTATCTAATGGGGAATTAAGCTAGTTGAATGTTGAGTTATGAAATTTTGTTTTAAAGTGCTCTTAAAGTTCAAGAAAGACGAATTAATTTGTAAACTCCTGTCCAAAGTGTTCCAGATATTGGGGAACCTGGACATCACGGTGAACATTCTTTGTTGGTTTTTGGTGTGCATTACTGCCAAATCGTTACAATGTCTGGTATTAAAGCGTGAAAGTTAACGTACGTGGGATGACTTGGCATATGAAGGGTAGGCGTGTACTGCATGGGTTATCGTTCCAATATCCATCGTGGATGTGGACACAATCCTCCATCCCTTTGTTGTTATCCGGCTGATTGGGCTTCCACATGCGGTAGCCGCCCGCGAGAGGGGTGCCGTCCATCCACTGGAAGCGCCCCTCCCAGTACCGATCGTGCAGCCCAATCCAGTGGTTGGTTCCCAGGCGAAAGCTGAGGACAACATTAGCCACGGCGTCGCGGGGCATGGCGAGGGTGCCGCCGTGTCGACGACACTTCGCAGCCGCGGCGCTGAAGTCCAACTTGGTGTCGAACATCTTGTAGCAGATTCCGTTCCCGTTCCAGAAGTCTCTGGGACAAGATACTGGGAAAGGGCGTACATAAAATGCATTCATTACCTGCACTAGAAGATTATGTTTTTGGTAGCGTTTGGGGCGGTGGCGTTATTTTTTCGGGAAGCGACACGAGTTATGCGGAGGTAGATTTGACAGGAAGAGGGTCGTTTGCTGCCCAACAGCACAATATAGGTCTAGAACACAGGCCTAACGGTAAAAGAATATAGGCCTAACCTTTATTGGGCTTGCATGGTACGGCAGCACCAGGCAGCCCAACGGGACCAGGACGCCCAATGCGTCCTGGGGGCCCAGGAGGCCCTACAGACACAGGCCCAGGCAGCCCAACGGGTCCTGGGGGCCCAGGAGGCCCGACAGACACTAGGCCAGGTGGCCCAATGGGCCCTTTTTCTCCTGGTGGCCCAGGAGGCCTGGTAGGCACAGGGCCAGCTGGTCCCAAGAACCCTTTTTCTCCCAGGGGTCCAGGTAGAGGAAGAGTAGCTGGCCCGATGGGCCCCTTGTCATCGGTTCCTGAAATGATGATAATAAAACATTAGCTTGTTTGTTTGTTTTTTTGTTGATCAAAATGTTCCACATGTCAAGTGGAGGGGGAGTGAGACCATACGTACAGGTGAAGACACCTCTCCCACGTCCCATCCACTTCAATAAAAGACCATGTCATCAGGCATGGTGAGATAGTAAATTAAACCTATTAATATCACACAACTTTCCCGTCATCGAGGCCTTAAATTAAAGCTAAACATGTATGTCATATGCAAGCTGAAGTCCATGTGAATTGGATGTCTGTTGCAAAATAGCTCTTACCTAACGACTGAATGAGACGCTGTTTGGACAACAAAATGTTGGTAAAAGTTTTACTTTAGACCTTCTAAATAAAGATATATACTCTCTTCAGCCAGGCTTACCAGCCTTTCCCTCAGGACCAGCCGGCCCCATGGGTCCCTTCTCTCCTGGGGGCCCGGGCGGGCCTGGAGGGCCAGCGGCTCCGGCGACTCCTGTGGTCACATTTCCAGATGACCCAGGTGGAGTCAGGGACTTGAAAAGGCCATTTTCTGCCAAGGAGTGGTTTGGCCCAGGGAGCACACACATTTCTACATAGAAGATATGATGATTTCTTTAGTTAAACAGCCTACATGCAAAACTGAAAAAAATGATGCTGGAAAAATAATGGCATACATTAATTATTACCAGATACAGAAAAAGACATACCGTGACCTTGTGATGGACAACAAAGTCTTCTAGCGTATTTTAATATTCTAACACTACTACTACGGTGACTACCGTTATTTTGTAACTACTATGCTAGTAGGTTATCTCCACCTCCCAGGACGTCGACCGTTAAGAATTTTAACGGTGGGGCAATACTGTCTTCGTTAGATTTTTTAGTTAGGAAGTAAGTTACTGATAACGGTAGACCTCCTAGGAGATGGAGATAACCACCCAGCTTAGTAGTTACTAAATGACGTTGGACATCGTTAGTCAATAGTTACTGTATATGTGCATCGGCTGTTCTAAGGTACTATCATGTCAACAAACTTACGTTCCAGCTCGGTTATTCGCAGCTCACTCATCCTGTTCCGTGCTGTTAGCTTGGCCACGTCATCAAACACTTTAACTGCAACAAGATAGAAAACAAACGATTAATGACGTTACATGTAGGTCACGTGACTGGTCATTTAACCTGATGATGCATTGACTTCCGTGGTTTTAGTCCGGATGAAAAATTTGAATAACATTCTTCAAATTTGAATAGAAGCAGCAATGAATGAATAAAAGAAAATGGAGAGAGAGAGAGAGAGAGAGGAAGAGAGAGAATGAAATCAAGAAAGAATAATTAGTAATATAGACGTTAATGTCATTCGAATCCTCATGGAAAAATTGATAAAGACTTTAAGTAGCATTGTCCAAATCAGGCCGCACCAATTTAATTTATTGGCTAACGGATTCGCCCGCTTTATTTTTTCTGATTTGCAAACAAAATGTAGAATCAACTGCAAAATGCTCATATTTAGCCCTGAACAGTTGAAAACAGCCCTTTTCTTCCTACTTGTTACAGTTATTCCATCTTTCAATGCAGTGGTATCATTAAAAGTTCAGGATTCATTGTTTAAATTTTGAACCAACCCGGTGTGTTGACTTCATGGCTCCTATCGTACCATTTTGGGCCAAAATAGGATGCCTAGGCCTGTTTTTTTCGCCCCCCGCTCCATTATTTTTCTAGAAAAATCCGTTAACCAAGAAATTAAATTGGTGTGGCCTCAGGGGTATATAAAATGGAAGAAATATAACGAGATACCATATGGACTTCTCTCAAACGATACAAACTTAACATCCTAAAAATTCTCTTTTGGCTTTTTACAGGACAATAATAACTAAAATCTGACTACAATGTGGAAACATATCTGCATCACCCTGATTTTGAGCTAAGGTCATCTCTATGTAAAATGAGACTAAGCGCCCACACATTAGAGATAGAGAGAGGAAGATATAAGAAACGGCCTGTAGGCGAAAAATTCTGTAAATACTGTACGGAGGGAGCAGTGGAAGATGAAATGTATTTTATCTGTCAGTGTCCTCATTACGATTTTAACAACAACAATAATTTCATGCATTAAGCACATACAAAGAACTAAACAACATGTGCAACAAAAGCAAACAGCATTTTGCACACTATAGAAAAGACCTACCTGCAAATAATGGAAACAGTAAGATGCTGACCACAGCAAAGAAGACACCTGTGCCTTTCATGAACTTTTTGAACAGGTGGATGCACTTCTTTACCTTGGTGTTTGCTCCATCCGTGTAGTCTAGCGGTGGAGGATAGAAAAAGAATAATACATCTACTAAGAATAACCTTTTTAAAGACCTTCAGTGCAAATTTAGGACGGCAAAACTGGATTTGTCCATTTCTGCTCATTCTTTTATAATATATAATGTAGTAAGTTGAATCAATCCTATCCCTTATTGTTTATTGTTTATTGGCAGTTTGCACATAAAAATAAAAACAGTATGTAATGAATATGTACAAAGAAATGTGCGGGAGAACCCAAGAAACCTAAGGGTTTATCGATTGGGTTCTCCTAAAATCCAATTGTTTTTATGACCTCTTTTTACACACGTGTATTTTTAAAAAAAGTGACAACGAAACAAATTGAGTCAAAATAGATACAAAATACATGTAATATAGAGTTAACACGACGAACTAACTAACTAATTGACTAAACAACAAAGTAAGACTATCAAAAACATGTCAAATTGAACACAAAAAAATTCCATTAGTCAAATCATCAAGTTTTTATGCATAAGAGCAAAGTATAAACATAAGAAAGCAATACTAACACAAAATAAATAAAGAGCATAAGAAAACAAAAGCAAATCAAGAAGTGGCAGATGGCTTCTCTATCAGGTCAATTTTTAGATATCTTTTGAAAGTTGGAAGGGACTGACAATATGCATAGTATACGTACTGATATCTGTGAGACAAAAATGCGATGTCACTGACGGAAAAAGGTTTCTTGTTTTCTACCGTGGGCTGATTCTAGCTATTTATGGGTGGTACCCCAAAAACGACAGGGACATCTCACCTGGCTTTTTTTTCAAAGCCTTTTGTTTGATTTGCCGCCCTGAAATCGTTTTGTATGGTTTGAACCCATGCTCACAACAAAGACAGCTTCACAGTAGTAACGGTGGTAAATCATGACCCCCCCCCCCATAAAAAGACCAAAGCAGCAAAAAAACAAAAAAACGAAGGGACTCATGAATAGTTTTTAGAAATCCTTTTACCTGCTCTGGAGACGTACAGCGCGTTTGGTATATTTGCGGCGGCGTCCGCAACAGACTTCCAATTAGTCTGGTCTTGCTGCTTGGGTTTGGCGCCTGGGTGGAAGAAAATTGCAAAATGAGCAATACAATACGGCGTATTCCACACAAAGACAACACCGTTTAGTGTGTATTCATCAACAAAGCCATTCTTTACCACACATTGAACCAACAAAGATATAGGCATAGTCATAGCCGATTCAAAACTGGCAGGCTTCTGTGATCTGGCATACTACTGCACCTTTCTTTTGATAAAATAAAGGCTTACAAAATAAGCAAATTGGGTAACGGCCTGTGGTGCTATTAAGCATCACTACGTACAGAAAATAAACGTTTTGAAAGCAAACGAACTGACCATGGTATAGCCGGAATGGCCCCCCTCCCTCGCAAAATGTCATGATCATACAAGTAGTTAAAGCTCGCGACGACTACAGAAATAACTTCTCACTAGAAAAGAATAGAAAACGAGGACTTGGACAAATCGAGAGAAAGCCTGTTACCTCCGGTGTCACCAGTCTGGGACGGCTGCTGCCCTCCCGACATGATGCCAGTTGTCAGGTTTCTGTACAGCAAAAACACGTCCTGCACCAGGCACGGCGTTTGTCGACTGACTAGCGAAGTCTGCCTAACGCCCACGTAGTAATTACGAAAATATTTAAAGATTGAAAAAAAAATGATGAAAGCAAAATATATCTGATAAACAACAGTATATATCTTCACTAACTAGTCTACGAAACACGTCATCATTTTGGTCGCCAGCACTACATATTAAAGGTATTGAAAACAGTATACAAATACAATCATTTTTTTCTTTAAAGTAAAATGATTAGCTCACCACCCACGCATAAGTTAAATCAGTAAGATTGCAAAAATGAAAGAAGCCAATACATGATAAATAACAAAAAGTGTCCTTTGATAAGATCAGAAAACTTTAATTAAAACGCTTAATCGTCTTAAAAGCTTAATGTTCAAAGCATCCTAGCGAAAACGGTATACGAATGCAATCATGGTCTTTTAGAAGTACAGATTACAAACTTATTGCATGCTGATATCTACAGCTGTATTGAGAAAAAAAGTTAACATAGAAACTACAATTTGGTTGGAGGTGAGCTAAAACTTTTATTCGTCCCTTTTTAACAACAAAACTTCGACTATTTTTCAGGTCACCTGTGAGCATTCGAACCCAGCACCCAGCCAGTTGCATCATTTTTAATTTGGTCTTCATTACCTTATGCATCTTTTCCTGCAACTTTATATTGGCTCTATAGCTGGGATTTCGTAGATGGTTCTTAATGTATTTCCCAAGAATTGGACATCAAATACAACTGTTGAATTGTTAGGAGAATTGGATCATAAAGTTTAGCTCTTTGTCTCAAATCTAACCTTATGTTGTCATCCTGAGCTTTCATCCTCTCTGTCTCGATCGAACTCTCGAACGAACGCTCGATCGATCGGTCGAAATCTCGATCGAATATTCGAATTCTCGATCGAACTCTCTCGAAGCCGACCCAAATATGGAAACCCGCACGTGCAGTCCAGTCAACAAGCGTGATTGACGTCACCAGAGTGACCTAGTCTGTACATCCAGTTTGTGTCTCCTGCATGGATAAATAAAACATTTTCCTGGACAGCTACTTTCGTCCCGGAAGGTACCAGCAAGACCAGGCTAATTGGCATTCTTTTCGCCGCCGCCGCCGCGGGTGTATCTTGGACAACAAGATGCCGCACATCTTTGGAGCAGGTAAATTTTGTTTTTCTGTTTATTAAACCGATCTCCATTAGTACGCACAGACTGAATTTCTACACATGCTAATCTTCCTGGAGTCGTTATACACATATACTACTACAACGTGATGAGGCTTAACTACATACTACTAACGTAACAACATGGCAAGGCTTAACTACATACAAAACACACACAACATACATGTTGTACCGCAGTTTGCCAGCATCAGGCGTACTTTGTTTTCTCAATAATGAACTGCACTTTTCAGCATGAATCTACTGGAGTCCCTGCTAGTTGGGTTCTGTTGTAAGCTCTACAAATTTAATCGTGTGCGATTACAATGTTGTTTGATACGGTATTTTTTCTGTTTCATGTCTGTGTCTTGGTGATTTACTGAAAATCATGTTATTTCAAGTTTAAGCCTTTAAAAAAGCCTTCAATACTTGAGCTAACTTAACACTCAAATTGCGACGGTGCTGATATATTTTTACTTTGTAATTTAGCCCCAGGTGACACATCTACGGAGCAAGACCAGACTGATCATGATTGGAGAGCATCTGCTGACGCAGCCGCGAAAATACCAAACCCGATGTACGTCTCCAGCACAGGTAAAACACTTTCTAGAAACGGTTACTTTACCTGTATCTTTTTCATGTTTTCAGCTCACTTGTGTTAAATGCTTTTTACTATTCAATAACAACAATGCTCCGTTTTTGTTCATTTATTTTTGTTCATTCATTCATTTATTCATGCAATGTTGGTCATTTATTTATTCATGGATTCTTTACTTACAAAGATGTCAGTCTTTTTTCGAAGGGTTATTGGAGGGCAAATATTGCTGGAAACAAAAAAAGTTCATTCAAATATTTTAAAAATGGGAACAGTTGCGTTGCTTGGATTATTTACGTTGTTTCGACAGTTTCTGTCACATGCCTGTTTGTCTATTCATGAGACGCACAATTTGGCCTGCAGGCCACTTTTTCACGTAGGTCATGAAGGAAGAGGTACTTTATAAAGGGTCAGACATAATATATAACAAAGATACAGCTTAAATCGAGTCCAAATAAATCTACACACCTATTTGGTTATGTGTCACAGGCCCACAACACCTATTTCTGTTTTCATGTACGTTTTATGCAAAAGACCTACATTGGTGTACGTTTGAAATAACTACCTTTAAAAATACGTTTTTTTGCAATTGTTTCATCTAACAGCAAACCCAAGCGCCTACAACAAGACCAAGTGGTCCCACCGGTGTAAGAAGTTCTGGTTGACTGTCGGCGGGCTCGTCTTCGCGGTTATCGCCCTTGTACTTCCCTTCGTGGCAGGTCAGTTTTTTATTGAGAAAGATAATCTCCAAGCAGATTCTACGGTGCCAATTCAAGGCAGTACCCGATTGGCAAAGCATCATTGTGACTAATGTACTCTCCAAGCAGAGGTCTAGGCAGCGCTGCAAGCTCAAAATTCTTGCTTTATTATTATTTTTTATTTACTTCATGGTTCACCACAAAACAAAGCTCATGAGAGCCACTCAAATGCTTTGGGTTACTGTACAGCCAGTGAGGACAGATGTTTGTTGGCCTTAGACTTGAAACGTTTAAGGTTATACCCATATGGAAAACATTTTTAAGTATTGGTATACAGCGTAGCAAGCTCGACTTTCCTTTTTGGCGACGTCTCAGGGAGGAGCCTAATGTAATGGTACAGTATTGTGTGCAATTCGCAAGAATTCTAGGAATCGTACAGGCATTTTGTCCACAGGAATGGAATGTCCACAGGCATGTCTCTGACCCACATCTATGCCCACATTCCTGGAAACCTTTAAGACCTCTCTGCCCCAGATGGCCCTACTTTCTGTAACTCCGGGGCCCATTCACTATACACTCAGGGGAGGAGTGCACTGTATCTGTATAGGTACCAAGTCTTCCTCAAAATCATGAAATGATGGCAGTACCATGTAAACAATAACCCTAACAGAAACCACCGTCGCCATGGCAACGTATGTTTTCATTACCAGTCTTGTTTCTCTTTTTTTTTTATACAGTTAATGTGAGCATACTTTCTGGGGAGATGAACAAGATTTCAGTACGACTGGCCGAAGTGGAACGTAAGTAGCGTGTAAGACTATCCTCCTATCACAGAGTAAAAATCCTTAACTTTATATCATTTATCGAATCCATTTTGCTTTTAGACATTGATATGCAAATTCAGTTCCATTATTATTTATACCATTTGTCATATTTATTTCGTATGTTTTATGTACTTTATTAGTCTGTTCCGTTTCGTTTATTATTACCCTTTGATTGTACTTAAGTTACCTTTTATTATGTTATGTATGTCACAGGAAGCTTTGAAAAGCGCCAAAATGGCGATATGCTAACCTGTATAAATAAATAAAATGAAATGAAAATGAATGATTTATGACAATTCACTCTATTTACAATTTACGACCGTTACGGTTTTTTTTCAGATACCCATTCCATTGCGGTTGTCGGTCCTCCTGGGGCACCAGGGGAAAGGGGACCAATGGGGCCGCCTGGTAATGTGTCTACCGGGCCTCCTGGGCCACCTGGACCTATTGGGCCGCCTGGTCCTGTCGTACCGTGCAAGCGCATCGAAGGTTAGCTATAGCTATGTATATGTTTGTACAACACCTATTCCCCTATTTCATACACTTAAGTACTGTAGAAAAATTCATATTCCTTATGCGACTAGACAAACCACCTGTCGAAAAACAGATCTGTACGTTTATTTCTGCAATAACTGAAAAGCGAGGAGAAGTTGAATTTATATAACGATAGTCAGTTAATTTTGTATCTGTTAACCGTGTCCATTCATCTTGTTTTGTTGTGACCTGTACTTAGCCAAGTGTGGCAGAAATGTGCAGTAAAGGTCTTCATTCGATAAATTACGGACAACCTGTTACACAAATCTATCTTTGCACATTAACTGCAGTTAACGATGGTGCTTGCAAAATACGAGTTTTTGAACATCTCAATTATTGGTTGATAATTCTTATACATGTATTTGAAGGCATGACTGGTTCTTGTCCTTTTCTGGGCTGGTATCAGAAACTTATTATTTTTTTTATTTTATTCACCTGGATTTTGAGCATTGGATAGGAAGCACTTGTTGTGCTTATGTAAATCCGCTGCTCATAAAACATAATACAAATGTACACATAGAGATGACATAAAGTATACCATAAACATAAAATGAAAGTGGCTGGCGCACCAATATCTATAGCATAACATTATTGAGAAACTTATGATGTTATGAACTTCGTATGTTCAGTGTCTTGCCCCGAAGGCTTCTGGAACGGGAACGGAATCTGCTACAAGATGTTCCACACTCCTTTGACCTTCACCAAAGCGGCCGAGACCTGCTATCTAAACGGTGGCACCCTCGCCATGCCCCGAAACGCCCTGGCCAACCTTCTTCTCAGCGGAGCCCACCGTTATAATTACTGGATCGGGCTGCACGACCAGCGCCGGGAGGGTTTCCTTCGAGTGGATAGACGGCACCCCTCCTAGGGGCCTTCACCCTGTGGGGTTCCGGTCAGCCGGACGACAGGAATCACGAAAACTGCGTCCTGTTTGTTCACAACCCCGACAGAGCAGAGTACTTCTGGACGACCTGCATTGCTTTCGCATGCTTCCCTTCATGTGCCAAGTCATCCCAGGTACGTTTACCCTGGAAACCAAACTCGTTGTCCGGGCCGCAAGAGCCCTTTGCCCGCTGGTGTAAATTACCGCTACGGGGGAGTCTAACCCGGGGGGGGAGTTTGGCTGGCCGGACAACGAGTAAAGGGCCAGCC